CACCTCGGCAGTGCACAGGAGATGAAAACTGGCACCTCTTCAGCTACCAGTCCACACTCCATATTGTGGTCTCTGGGACTTGAACCGGCCACCCAAGCCAAGTCCCTACACACTGAGCTACTGCCCTCAACTCCAACATGAGATCAGCTCATAGTGCCTGCTGCTTAAAAGGGGCTCCTCCCTCTGACCCCTTACCTTTTGGGTGGAGGGCGTTGCTATGGAGATCCCCATCCCAGATCCGGGCAGCACGGACAAAACTTTGTACTGTGAGGGACAGAGAAGACCACGCATCTAAATCCTCATTCAAAATAAACTTTATTTTAATGAATCAGCATCAGTGACCGTTTTAAAAGAAAGTTTACAACATAAAGAAACATATGTTAATAAAACGCTAAATGAGCAGCAATAACAGGAACTTATAACTAAGGGATGTTATATATAATGTTATAAAGGATATTATTATCCCTTATAACATTATATATAAATATTATATATATTTATATATAATTTATATTATATATAAATATAATACATATTTATCATACGGTACGTATCATGAATATAGCTGCTATATCTTCCTGCAGCAGACAAGATTAAGCAGATTTCATTTCAAACTATTCCAGCCAATAGTGCCTGGAACAGAAAATAATGTGTCTCTAGTTACTACACTTCTAATGTACTTATTCATTTAAGATACAATTACAGATCATGAATTTTACTGTTGAAATGACAAAACCCATCATAATCTTTCTTTTTCAGATACATTTAAATCCCGAAAAACTGAAAAATCCATACAACTTCTTAACAATTAAGATCAAGCTAACTCTGTCAAGCATCTTAGAGGGGACGCTGGAACAGAACCAGGGACTCTGCTTACCTTCTGGATGTCGGTGATGTCGGTGAGTTTGATGACTTTGTTCCTCTTAGAGGATCCAGACCTGGAACTGGAGCTCTCGAAACACAGATGACTGAGGAGACAGAGAAGATTCAATTAATCCCCCCTTTACTTAGATTGAGTGAAAGACAGGAACAGAGACAGTGTCCAATGAATGTATAATTAAACTAATTACTGTTTTAATAAGTCTAACAACCTGAGTGATTAATCACACTGTAGTTTCTGATTGGTCAAACAGTATCTTCCACTAGCCAATAATATCCCTGCTTGCAAGTTGATTTATCTTTTTGAATTTTTTAAATGTCACTCTTTCATTCAGTTTCATATGAACTATTATTTTGGTGCTATACCCAAAAAGGTCAGTGGGTGGCAGCAGGAAGCCTCCTTTTTTATGTATGAGCATGAAAAACACATTTATATGAAGGTTTATATGTCTTTAAAAAGGCAGTTGCAAACAAGTGGCTACAGACTCACTTCTCAGTGACATAGAGGACTCCATTGCGGATGTAGTCTGTCGGCGTCTTCCGGTCTCTGTTGATGAGGCAGCAGCGCCAGCCATTCTCACACACTGAGACACAAAGAATACCAGAACAAACCGGGTCAGACAACAGTTTACATCACCTGCTGCAGTTCACCATCAGAAGCTTTTACTGTAACCAGGGCAGTAGCTATGAGTACGGTCATGTTCTTGATTCCAGTGTTTTTAGATTTGGAAATTAAATTATTAAAATTAAGTATTTCCCAGCAAAATTCTAGAATGAGAACCTGATCAGACCAGGTTTTTATCTGCTGTCTTTCTCTCTGAATCTGATCCTCGGTGCAGTTCCTCCCCTACCTGTCAGAGGGTGCTCACTTTCCGGTAGGTTGAAGACTTCGTGAAAAGTTCCTCTCTTGGTGCTGTAGTATCGTCCTCCGTCCTCGTCCCGGCTGACACCCAGTGGAGCTGCAGCACCTAAGCTGCCTCGCCCCCCCGCCGCAGGAACCTGAACATGTGGACAGAAGGGGGTCCAGACAGGTTCTGGATTAGCACAGTCAGAGAGTTAAGCTGCAGGCAAACTATTTTGTGTGTAAAGGAATTGTTTATGCGTAGTTCTGTTTGCACACCTGCCTGCCTTAAATTGCCCCTTGAGGGACGAATAAAGTATTTTGAATTGATCTGAATTGAAAAAAACAATATGGCGATGATTTAGTGATTTTTAGGGGTGGGACTAAAAATGTCACGTTTGTTTGTGGCATTAGAGTGAAGAACCAATGTAAACATGCATGTAAAAAAAAGAAAATGGTATAAAATCCTCAAAACATATTTTTTAAACAAATAAAATGTTGATACAAACCCACAATTTTGGTAAGATCTAATCTAAGTTTGTCCTGAGGGTGGCACTAGAGGAAAAGGGTCACTAAAATCTAAAGGGTACAAACTCTTGATGTGATACATCCATGTGTAAACTGTTGGGTTGGGATTACACGTAGCAAGGACTCAGCCTTGGTACATGGGGTACCCGCTGTACCTGGTAAGCTATAGGGGCCCCATTTTCTCTATATTTTTTTTAAGCTTTAATGTGTGGTTTTAGGACAAAAATCTTCTACTTTGATTATAAAAAATTACTTTTTTGTCAAATAGGCACCAAACACCTGCAGGAATTCTTCAGAAAAGCAGTAATTTGATCACATTCTCTCCCCTGATTGACACATCTCAGCTGACTAATTCTTTTTGTTCAGTGAAACTTGAACAAAGTTCAGATAGTTCGGATCAAACTTTAAAATTCAGAGTAAAATTCTAAAAATACAAAATTCCAGGTGAAGCAAAACTTAAGGATCAGACACAAAATTGGTTTAAAAAAACATGATTTTGGGTTAGACCAAGCCAGTTCAGTCAAAATGTAAAATTAGGATACAGACCTGAAAATTCAGAATGAATAAACTTCATAAACTCAAAAATGGGTGTAAAACCCTGAAGACTGAAGTAAGATCTGACCGGAGTTCGAAGGAGCCGCTAGAGGAAGAGGATGGGGGATGACTATCACTAATGATCAGTTCTGTCAGCAATCAGTGATATCAGTATCAGACCGGTCAGAAGACTCTACATCTCTAACTACAGTACACACTACTGACCTATAAATACACACAATACACACAGCATGATCCTACCTGTTCACACTCAGACAGCTGAGAGAGAAAAACAACAGAGAACTGAAACCAGACAGACAAGCTACAGGGACCAGTAAGAACCAGTAACACACTGATCCAGTTTGCACTGGTCGACGTTTCCTCTACAGATCTTAGATGTTTCAGTTACTTCTGAAAATGAGTCTGAATGTAACTTTCTATTCAAGTTTAGATAATGAGATTAATGGAGGAGATTATCTCGGGGAAATAACCTGCATTAACCCTGAGAGGGTCTACTAGAAGACAACATCAGTGTTCTAGCTGAGCCTGTAACATCACATCTCCTGATGATTCTTCTGGAATTTCAATGTAAAATATCCGTATTTATACAAAGGTTCCCATTAACCGCGACCTACACAACAACCATCACAGTATGTGCTTGTCTGTTTTTCCTGAACAGCAGAGTCACTGAAGTCTGGAGTTTCTTCCCAAAAATGGGAATTCAGGAATTTCTAAAGAACACTTTGCTCAGACACCAGTGATTTTACACATCTAAACAATTAACAGGTCTTAGGGAAAAGCTGTTTAAAGTCCAGTGGCTGCAGAGGGAGCTGAATGAAGCCAAGAGAGTTGGGGCTGAAGACTACAAGTTTGAAAGCTTATCAGACCTCAGTAGCCACCCTGATATCTGCATGAGGCTAGCAGCTCGAGGCTACATTAGCTACTACTAGCATAACACACCCAAATCTCAGAACTATCGGTGGTTGAGGTTTTGACAAAGAAGAAGGAAGGTATGGGATGTCTTGCATCAATTTTGATCTTTTTTTTTTAAAACCAGCCATTGTGAGTCGACAATGTCAGTATAATGCTAAATTGGTGCAGTACTCCTTTAAATACATATGATTTCCCATTAAGAGAGACAAACTTTGATTTACAGAATTCAGACTTGCGCATTGGCCAAACAACAGAGCCGAAGGACTTGTTTTCTCCTGTCATGATGATGATGAAGCAAGAGCCACACTGACTGACTTCAGACCAGCGTTGCGGTCTGTGAGCTGTATGTCTGGATATTTCAGAGTGTGGACTGACCCGTCTGCTCAGCGTGGTGTTGCTGCGCTCCTTCAGCTGCAGGTCAGTGGGTAAATTGGTCCAGATGATGTAGGGTGTGTCGTAGCGCTGCCTCAGCTTGGGACAACTCTTAAAGATGAAGTCAATGATGAAGAACTTTATACCTGCGTAAACACCTGAGGAGGAGGAGGAAGACACAAATCAGAGACACGAAATATGAAGTGGACTCTTCAGGGTGTCATTCAGAGTATTTGACTTACATTTATCAGGTAGATGAAAAACAACTCTTACACTTACTCTATCTGAATAAAAGTGGACAGGTGTTTGCTAACATGCCAGCCACAGTTACTGTATAAGCTGATAACATGTCATAGTTGTGTGCCTCAGTTTCTTTTTGAGTTTTTCTGCCCCTAAAATAACAATTCCAGATTTCATCAGTTTACACCTGGCATTAGTCTCCACACCCATTCTCCAGTAACCACTTCCGGAGCTCACTTCCCAATCAATGCAAATAAACACTATAGGGCTGTACCCTAATCAAAATGTTGTCAGTCAATTGTCAGTTCTGTGGCACTCTAGCTTGTCGCTTTTACTTGCCATTAGCGTTTACACTACAAAAGATATGTGGTCAAATGTGTCTCAGACCACCTCGGCAAGTGGTTTGAGTGATTGGATCACAATGCGTCTCGGTTGTCGTTTACAGTTGCATTGAGAGCTGTCCACTTATGATCAGATCACCTAAGACGCATTCTAATACCAGATGTAAACAGGCTCATAAGTCCACTCTGTAGACTACACAACAAAGCTTTAATGCTATAATATGTATTATAGAAAGATTACTCCTTATAGTTTGTGTGAGGTGTACAGTGACGTGGTGTGTAACAGTATACACTATATATGACATACCTATGATGAATCCCAGCAGTTTGTAAGGCAGCAGGCAGGAGGAGATGAAGGCCAACCACAGACCAACATACAGCTTCTGAGTCAACTCTGGTTGAACCCACATGAACAGACTGCACACGCACGCACACACACACACATACACACACACACACACAGTATTAAAGATCCTGTATATGGAGCCTCAGTTCTCTCTGACCTGAAACAGTGTCAGTGTGCAGACAAACTTACTTCTTTATTTTCTCCAGGATGTTTGCCATCTTGCCAAACAGATTCTGTGAGGACAAAACAAAAGAACAGAAACAAAGTTGTTGTGAAATCTGTCTGGGGGTGTCGGCTGTGACGTAGAAGCTCTGACGGTCCGCCACGTCTCACCTGAGCTTTCTGAGCGACGTCCAGAACCAGCTGGAACTTCTCCGACACTGTCAGGTCTTCTTTAGGAGGCTCCTGGAAAACAGAGGAGAAATAAACACTTACGCATGTCAATCACCTGCACACCAGGTCCAACTGTTAAATGTTGACTCAATCAATTATTCATCAGTCACGTCAATCAAAACAAACATTTTCATTCTGAATCATTAAGCGTCATTCCTCTATTTACGTGTAATTGTCAGTGCAGCTATTTCTTCCTGTTCACCAGTAACAAACAAATGCTGGATATCATAAAGTGGCTGCAGGAGTGAAAAGAGATTTCTTACCACAGGCTCTGAGACTTCAGGTACGATGCTCCACTGGATCCTCCAGCCTCTGAGAGCAGTGCATCATGGGAACACACAGGTATATATGAGATCATTTCACACTCACTACATTATCTGTGTGTCAGTACTGAAATCAAAAGTCTCTAATAAATCACTGAAACAAGAAACTTTTGTGTGTTTTTATGTAACCGAGTCATTTTTAAAATCAGTGAGGTGAGCCTTACTGAAGCCCTTTATTTATTTAAAGGTCCGGTGTGTAACATTTAAGAGGCATTCATATGTTTATTTAGTGTATAATCAGCTGAATATAGGAGTCTTATGTTTTGTTTATTTTAGAATGAGTCTCTTATATCTACAGACACCGCGGGTCTCCCTCCATGGTGTCCGCCATGTTGAACCGCCATGTTTCTATAGTAGCCCAGAAGGGCCAAGGGCAGGGCATGCACTGACCTGGCGATGAGATAATTTAAGGAGAGGCGGAGGATGGCGAGGAACAGGAACATGGGGACGGCCCAGCCGTGCCACGCTGCATACATGTAGACCTGTGGGGAAGAAACACACACACACACA